GGGTTTGAATGCCGGTGTGGAAATGTTTACTGTGGTGTACACCGTTACTCCGATGTACACAATTGCTCTTACAATTACAAAGCTGATGCTGCTGAGAAAATCAGAAAAGAAAATCCAGTAGTTGTTGGTGAAAAGATCCAGAAGATTTGAACTCCTGCTGGAATACAAAATCCTTTGACCATCTGCAAACTAAAAATTGACTTGAGGTTTTTTTTCCTAGTCATTGGGAATGTAGAGCAATGTATCTTGCATAGACCTTTTAATCATGCATGTCATCAGAAGAATAGATTTTTGTTTTTGTTTTGAAAATGACTCTGAACATTTATTTCCATTGCAGTTTCTGTGGCTGAAAAGACTTAAGTAAACTTCACAAGTATTATCCTTTTAAGATCATTTTAATTTTAGTTGAGTGCAGAGGGCTTTTATAACAAATGTGGAGAAATTTTGGAGGGCCGTGATTTTTCCAGTATTAAACATGCATGCGTTGACCTTGCAGTTTATTTTCTCATTGTGTGTGTACATAGCTTTTCTCTGCAGCACGATCTCTGTCGATGGCGCCCCTCAGGGCACAACTAGTTACCAGTCACTGAATGTATCTTCATCCTTACGGCTGCTTCTGGGTTTTCATTAACAAAGGTTCTGCATACGTTAGCCTATGGTTTCTTTGCACCCACTATTTATGTCTGAATCATTTGTCACAGGAGAGTGTGTGCTGATGAGATTCTAAGTTTGTGTGTTTTTAAATTTTTTTGAGCGAGGGAAGGAAAAGCTGTATGCATTTCATTGCCGACTGCAGGTTTCTTTCAGATTACGTTCATCGGTCTGTGTGTATACAATATGAAGAATGATCTGAAGTAATTGTGCTGTATTTATGTTTACCCACCAGTCTTTGATTAAATAAAAAGGAAAACCATAACGTTCCCTTGTATTACTTTCTCTGCTCTTCTTTCTGGTAGTTCATTTAGACTTTTGGTCCTTTAGTTTTCTACTTTATTAATTTTGTACAGGTCCTGCTACTGTTCTCACATCTATTTGTGTCTGATCTTATGACGATAAATTGTAATCTTAGATTCCTTTGAGTTGAAGGGGTCAGCATTTCTTTAACACCAAGAACTGCTTTTTGTCACATAGATATCGAATTTTCTAGCTCTGTTCTACATCCTGTCACACTGAGTTAGCATCTGGTTAGGAGCTCCTTTTTCTGGTAGAATTAGACAAACTGAAAGGGCATAATTCAAACATGGCAGCTGGAGGATTGTGGATGAGAAAGACCATTTGTCCTGTGGTTTTCAAACTTCTCTGGCAGCCAGTCTTTTTTTAACACGAAACGTAAAACAGGTAAAAAGCAGTATTTTACAATACAAATTTCTAGGTTTAAATTTGTTTACCACTACTTTACTTGTAAGTTCTATCTTAGTATGTAATGTTGGCTTAGCATGAAAATCTGTAAATGTAATCTATTTAAATGTTACCTGTTAATTTGTTATATGAACAGATTAAAAAGAGAAAACTGTTCTCACTAGCCCAACAGATTTATGTTAAGTATTGAACAGAATTTAACACCCATTCATGACGAGAGAACTCCTGATAAATTAGAACTAGGGAGGAATTTCTTTAAGCTGATAGTTTCTGTGTAAAACCAAACAAACAAAAGAAAAAGCAAGCATCCTCCAAAAAGAGGAAACTCATTCCGTTTTAAAGTCAGAAACAAAAGGCTGCCTGCTGTCCCCTGCTTGAGTTCAGAATTGAGTTGGAGATCCTGTATTCAATAGAGTAAGTCAAAACAGAGGTTCCTAAGAAGGAGAAAGGAGGAAACACTCGATATTTGCATGCATGTTCAAGGCCTCTGTAAGAAAAAATTCTCAAGTATTATCAAGAGACGATAACTAAATACCTCAGTAAACCGGGAGGGAGACATGTTAATGGCTAGGAAGACAATATAAAGATGTCCTCTGTCCCCAGATAGACCTGTAGATGCAAAGCAATTCCAGTCAAAATCCCACCAAGTTTTCTCCTGGAACTTGTTAAAGCAGTTATAAAGTAAAAGGTAGCAAAGGGCTAAGGTGTCTTTGGAAAAGAAAGGGCAGGGGGGTGGACACTTGTCCTGTCAGATGCTAGGACTGGTTCACATGAAGCCATGTTAATTAAAAGAGCTTGGTATTAGCTAAAGGATGTACACATTTCCCAATGGGATAGACCAGATTGCCCAGAAAAAGGCACGCACAGACTGAATTTCGGTGTAAGAGGTGGCATGTAACATCGGGGAAGTTAATTTGAAAATTAGAGCTGGAACAATTGGTTATCTGTGTGGGAAAGGATGAAAATTAACTCTTTTCTCATGCCAGGGGAAGTTAATGTCTTAAATGTCACACAAAATTTTCAAACTTGGGGAAAAGGTAAAGATAACTACTTTTTTTTTTTTTAAAGATTTTATTTATATGACAGAGAGAGACAGCGAGAACAGGAACACAAGCAGGGGGAGTGGGAGAGGGAGAAGCAGGCTTCCCGCTGAGCAGCGAGCCCGATGTGGGACTCGATCCCAGGACCCTGGGATCATGACCTGAGCCGAAGGCAGACGCTTAACGACTGAGCCACCCAGGCGCCCAAGATAACTACTTCTTTGGCCGTGAGATAGGGTCCTACTTAAGACACAAAGCATTAACTGAAAGTGTTATTGATAGATTCTGTATTAAAATGAGGTATTTTATACCTAGGAATAAACTTAACCAAGGAGGTGAAAGACCTGTACTCAGAAGACATTGGTGGAAGAAATTGAAAGTGATACAAATGAATAGAAAGATATTCCATGCTCATGGATTTGAAGAATTAATATTGTTAAAATGTCCATACCATCCAAAGCAATCTACAGATTCAATGCAATCCCTATCAGTACACCAGTAGCATTTTTCACAGAATCAGAATAAATGATCCTAAAATCTGGAGCCACAAGAGCCCAAAAAGATCTTAAACTATACTCTGACAAAGCAAGGGCAAGAAAAGCAAAAATAAACAATTGGGACTACATGAAACTAAAAAGCTTTCACACAGTGAGGGAAACCATCAACAAAATGAAAAGGCAACCTCCGGAATGGGAACTCAACACCAAAAAAATTTGATTTAAAAAATGGGCAGAAGACCTGAGTAGACACTTTGCTGAAGAAGACCTGTAGATGCCCAGCAGACACAGAAGAAGATGCTCCACTCATCAGGAAATGCAGATCAAAACCACAATGAGATACCACCTCACACCTGTCAGAACGGCTAAAATCAACACAAGAAACAGCAGATGTTGGTGAGGACGTGGTCCCCTCGTGCACTCTTGGTGGGAACGCAAACCGTGCAGCCACTGTGGAAAAGAGTATGGAGGGTCCTCAATTGAAAATGAAAATACCATACAATTCAACAGTTATACTGTGTGGAGTATTTAGTTAAGGAAAACGAAAGCTAACTCAGATAAAAGCATTGTTGTTTATTGTAGCATTACGTACAATAGCCAAGATACAGAAGCAACCTGAAGTGTCCATCAGTAGATGAACAGATAAAGATGTGGTGTGTATATATATGCACACGATGGAATATTAGTCATAAGGAAGAAGAATGAGATCTTGCCATTTGCAACACCATGGATGGACCTAGAGGTGATTTTGCTCAGTGAAATAAGTGAAAGACAGATACCATAGGATTTCAGTCCTATGTGGGATCAAAACGATGAACACACAGAACAGAAACAGATGTTAACCACAGACAGCAAGCTGGTGGCTGCCGGAGAGGGGGAGGTGGGTAAAGTTGGTGATGGGGGGGGACAAAGAGGTACAAACTTCCACTTACAAAATAAACCCCTGGGATGAAAAGTACAGCACAGGGAACATGGTCAATACCATCGTGGTAACTCTGATGGCAGATGGTGACTGCACTTAATCGTGGTGAGCATTCTGAATGTATATGAATGTCAAATCACTACGATGTCCACCTGAAACTAATACAGCATCGTGCGTCAGCTATTTCAATTTTAGAAAGAAAGGAAAATGAGGTATTTTATGCACTAATATATTATTTAAAGTATCTTCAAAGAAAGAGAAAAGATGAGTTACAAATTGGGAGAAATTACAATGCAAATCAATACCACAGTGAGATACCATTTTATACCCACTCAACTGGCAAAATTTTAAGTCTGGCAGTATTTATCGTGTTGGCGGGATCCCACGTAACTTCTGATAAGCTGCTGGTATTAGTCAAAAGTGGCTCAGTCCTTTAGAAGATTTGGTGTTAACCTTTTATTTTTTTATTTCTTTGAAGTTTTTAAGTAATCTTTGTGTCCAACATGGGGCTGAAACTCACAACCCTGATAGAGTCACTTGCTCTTCTGACTGAACCAGCCATGCGCCCCTGGTGTTACCTTTTAAAGTTGGACTTTCACACATCCTGTAATCCAGAAATTCCAGTCCTCAATGTATACCCAAGAAAAACTTGCACATAGATAACAGGAGACATGAACAATTTTCATAGCAGTGTTTACAGAAAGCAAAAACTTAGAAAAACCCAAGTCCCATTGAAGAGTGGGTGAATAAAATACGATATAATCTTATAATAGAATATCATACAGTAATCAGAGCTAGTGATCCTGAATGACACAGCAACATGGAAGGCACAGGAAGCCCTAACTTAGAGATATAGTGAGCAAAAAAGTCAAAATATACGACATGCTCACCTATAAAGATTTTAGTAAGATACACTTACTTGTGAGTCCTATACATGGGATTTAGATGAAGAGAAAGGTAGTGATGAAAACTAAGGATGGTGTGCTTAGAAGGGAGGAGGCAAGGGATGTGAGCCACGTGGTCAAGCCCCCCAGCTCTTGAGAGTCAGTTCAGTTTTGTTTGTACGAAGTAGACTCCATGCCCAGTGTGGAGCCCAGTGTGGGGCTTGAGCCCATGACCCTGAGATCAAGACCCGAGCCCACATCAAGCGCTGGATGCTTAACCGACGGAGCCACCCGGGCGCCCAGAGAGTAAGTCCGTTCAGGATGCTTACACTGGACATAACTAAAGGCAGACCGTGTGTGAACCAATGCTGAAAGTGTCATGAACCAAAGATTATGACCAATCCAATTTTCTGTACCCAAGTTCCAAAGTATTATTTATAAAGCCGTTTTGATGAGCACATTTTGAAATTGAGGGTTATAGGGGTGCCTGGGTGGCTCAGTCGTTAAGCGTCTGCCTTGGCTCGGGTCATGATCCCGGGGTCCTGGGATCGAGTCCCGCATCGGGCTCCCTGCTCAGCGGGGAGCCTGCTTCTCCCTCTCCCACTCCCCCTGCTTGTGTTCCCTCTTTCGCTGTGTCTCTCTCTGTCAAATAAATAAAATCTTCAAAAAAAAAAAAAGAAATTGAGGGTTATGTATGAAATGGGCTGTTGAATCAGCCCCAGCATTCAATTTGTAATTTACCTTTTTTTTTAATATAATTGTCACAAAAAATCCACACAAAGTATTCCGGCTTCACTTCACACCTAAATATTAAAGCCATAAATCACAAAATGTCTTGTAGTTCAGTCTTCATATCTAATTTGTTTGGGATTTCTATACTCAGGCCCTGCAAAGTGTCCTTTCCCCTAGTTTTCCTGGAATGCTGACTTCTGTACTGTGCAGTGCAATCTTGAAATTATTCCTTTGCTTTAAACTCGAGTCTCAGAAGACCTGTTTTTCCTCATGTGAAGATGGCTTATGCTAAAGTGATAATGGCTAGACCTCCCCTTTTTTCATAGGTTGTCTAGAACATCTGAATAGATACTCTTGGGAATTTGGGAAAGGACTCCTGTAGTGTGTTGTATCTTTTAAAAGGCTGGCTTCCTGGCCTTGTTTTTCCTCTTTTATTAACACCCAGCATCAAGAGTAATTCAGAGAGTCAGCAGAATGGAAAGTCAGGAATGCAG